CTTGCTATTTTTTTCAGGGGCCGATTGTATAAAACTCTTAATCACTTTTTTAATCACTATTTTGTAGTTAAATAGTGACTTAACTCTCAAATATGTGCTTCTTTTTGGATGACGTTTCCACTAACTATAGTTAACTTTAATCACTTTTTTTATTAAATACTGCAGATAATTTTCCTTCCACACTATGTTTAATTAATAGTCGAGAGTTAAGAATGCCGTGGAAAGTGCAGTATTTTTTTCCGCAACATTTTATACTCGGCCCTCGACTCTCAACACGACCCTCGACCATTGTCAAACTTGTTATTTATATGCTGGTGTGAATATAAACTGAAATGTTTTCGTCGCTTCGTCTATTCTTTCATCAACTATTAAATTATTCAGTAATTTCACAAACTGTTTCAGTGTATCACACTGTGCTCACAGCATGCGTTTATCACCTTGATTCTATAGCGGCAGCCTCACTTCGCATGCATAGAAGAAGTAATAGTTTTATGAATATAAATTTGCCAAATTACTTACTTTCTTGCATTAAATTAGTCTAAGGCGAAGGCTAAGACAACATCAAAGCAATTGAATGAATGTTTAGTACATTTTCTTTGTTAGATTAAATTCTGCGAATATTCTGAAAATGTGTTTAGTTGCACATGAAACTGCAAGTTGACTAAAATCTTTAATTTCATACATTTATTATTTATAACAAGAGGGGCACAGGGCAATCAAACATGACATATAGATTGTAGGGGGTAAAACCACTCGCTTAAATAATTTGTCGAACTGCGTGAAGTCTTTTTCGTTTGCATGTTGTTCTTCCAATATTAAGATTCAAGCAATACTTTTTGAAAAATTATTTTACGCATCGGAGTTTTACTTTCAGTAGTCTACACTCGACTCGTGAACTGTAACTGGTCCATACAAACCGCACGCGATTCAACAACGCGACGCGAATTTTCAAGTTTTAAACTGACAAATAAAACCGTCAACGGATAAAAATTTTACAAGATATGCAGACTAAATAGCTAAAATTGGTTCCGAATATTTGAAAAACATAGAAAAATATTAAAGTTAAATGTCATTGAAAATTGAAAATTCGCGTCGCGTTGCTGAAATCGCGTCCGGTCGGTATTGGCTAAAGGTCGAAACACACCGGACGACGCAATTCGACAACGCGGCGCGATTTTTTAGTTTTTGAAGGTTCAATAAAACAGCCAATGAAAAGAAATTTTAAAAGATATGTAGACCAAATAACTCAAAATATTATAGCGCTTCTAAATATTTGAGTTAATAATATCAAAGCTGTCGGTCAGTGAAAATCGAAAAATTGCCGGAGCCGCGTTATCGAACCGCGTCCGGTGTGTCTCGATCTTAACTCGGTGCATCTTCTTAATGAGGTTCACGATAATAAAAAAAAACTCACGTCATGTTATTTAGACTGGGTTAGGTAGTTCTATATCAGTTCTTCACCGGCTGCTCTAGCTTCCTGATGAATTATCGGTGATATGCTGCAAAGTACGTCACAAATTGGCCGGAAGGGGTAATAATCGGAGGAAATCAGATCCGCTTTCGTGACCTACAATGGGAGATCTCTCCTACCCTTCAATTGAAACGACACAGAAAACTAACGCGTTTTGCTTATGCTAGTTTAAAGTCAAAAAGGTTTCTGGAAGATCGAAGTGATCATCTTGATGAATGGCAATGTGCTTTACTGTTTATTGCATTTTTGTCAATTTTATCTCGTTTTCATGTTTTCCTGTTCTAGGCAGCACATGAATTACGTACGTTATACTGGGCCCATGTTCGGATTCGTGCACGAATATGTTTCTCTTTGATCTTGTTGCCACTCCTTAAACCTATTGAGCACGAAACATGAAAAAATAATTGCGAAAACGAGGTCATTGGGCATGAGTGCAATAAACAGTATGCGCGTACAGTCTATTATTCGTTTCATTTGAAGTGAGAAACAGGGAAACGGAGAAAAAGGCTTCTAAAACTATTTTTGTTATAATTAATTGGAGCATATGATTCCAAATTGTCGTCTTGAAATATAAACGGTAGCTCAATTAGTATTAATACAGTTACACTTATAGTTTACTATAGTAAGATCAGATTACGATTACTATAAATTCAGAATAATCATTTCTATTGCGCAAATTTACATGTGGATATATCAGCGCTTTCCATTTAATGGCTTGACTGGTCAGTCCCGAATTTTTGTCACTGTATCAATGGAAAGATCAGGGGCCGGTTGTATAAAAAAGTGATTAAAGTTAACTATGATTAAGTGCAAACGTCATCCAATAAGAAGCGACTATTTGAGAGTTAATCACTATTTAACTACAAAGTAGTGATTAAAAAAGTGATTAAAGTGCCTGTGACACGAAATTTCACCCCAAAGGTTTATGGTTGCATTATAAAGATCACTTAAAATGACTTAATAATTTATTTTGTAGAATTTTGGTAACTTGCTCCCTTTTCAAGATATTCAACTTTGTTTCATATGCAAATATCACCGGTGTGACATCACATCGCATAATGAGTTTTCAGAACAGTATAGTTTTCTTGACGAATACGTATCTGATAAACTTAAAAATTGCCCTTGTATATGTACTAATTTCATAACTGGTAATTAATTAACCCTCTGTATTTGTTTGTAAAAATATTTTATCAAGGTAAAATATTGCGTTTTCAAAATGTCATTATACAATGTGATGTCACACCGGTGATATTTGCATATGAAACAAAGTTGAATATCTTGCAAAGGGAGCAAGTTACCAAAATTCTATAAAAGAAATTATTAAGTCATTTTAAATTATCTTTACAACGCAATCACAAACATTTGGGGCGAAATTTCGTGTCATAGGCACTTTAAGAGTTTTATACAACCGGCCCCTGGTCTATGTTTCTCAAATATCTAGCAAAAATGGATCTCTTTCTAATGTTATCTAAATTTTCCGGTCAGATAGGTCAGACGCCCAAACGTATTGTGTTCCATTCTGACCGTTCTGGCCGTGTTAATGGAAAGCGCCCTATGTTCAAAAATAATGCGCTTTACATCAACCATTATACGCTTAATAATTACATATACTTATCTAATTACATATTTAGTTAGCCTATTTTATCTTTACAACAATATTGCGATACTACTTTCTTTCTTATATTATCTGTATTTATCCTAACCATAGTCCTAACACACCCTGTACATGTAAACTTTCCCTGTGGGAGGAAACCGGAGCGCCCGGAGAAAACCCCGGTAGCAAGAATCGAACCCACGGATATCATAGGCGACTTGAATCTATGACGTTCTGGCGGTTTTAAGGGGCTGGGGTTATGGGGTTGTGGCGCGGACAGTTAAAATTATGTAGGCAAGGTACGCGAGAGGCGCTTGCTCTTATTTGCTGAAATTTCCCATATTCCAACCTCGTCCCCATGGTCTTCTTCACGAGGAAGACCCTGGGGACGGGGTTGTCCATATTCAAAGCAATGATTTCAACATGTTAAAACATCTTGGCCGTATCGTATCGTATCGCTGTAATTGACCCCACATTTAATTAAGGAGAACGAAAACCTTGAAATATCTGATTGCTTCAATCTATTTCTAGTCTCTTTTTTGGCATCTTTTTAAAATCAGATTTAAATTTAAATTTAAACTTTCTTAAAAGCAAACTGTGAAGTTCATTATCTTCACATCAGTTACAGCTTGCAAGATTATCACAACGAAAGCATCCGGCGTCCGCAAAACATTAGGGAGTTTACGATCTACGACGCGGCCGGCTCAACGACGCGGTCCGGCTAAATTTCAGCTCAAGAATGAGCGGTAAGCAATTTGATTACTGTAAAAAATATTTCACGTTTTTTCAAATAACCTTACAAACTGCTACGTTCGGCTAAAGCGATGCAATGTTTGCTGTACTTTCGACTTTAAGTAACACACCTTGGGTCGCATTAAGCTTTCACGTTGACTGAAAGACGTAATATATAATGCTTGTTTAACGTTGTGTTGAGAATGACAACGCGGTTGACAATACTCCGGGACCACGAATTATTGACAGTTTCTGTCTTGCATGACAAATTTCTTTGTAAGTTCTTTGTAGGTTTGCATGGCAATAAAACATATAATACTATAGTTTGTGGAAACACCAATTTTTCTTGTTTTGAAAGCGCGTCATCGAGCCAGCCGCGTCGTAGATCGTAAACTCCCTATTACATGCGATCACGGGGAACCTGTTCAAAATGTCAAAATGAATAATCCTATAGATTACCACACTACTAGTAGGAAGATCAGCAACGGAATTGAATACTTGATGAGAATATTTCCATTTTTATTAGCTTTTGAATAAGGGGTATTTTAGCCTATGGAGCACGACATAATATTTTTGAGGTTAATTAAGTTTGACAGTTTGAAACTTTGTAAAATTGTCCGTTTATTGATATAGCCCAAGTTAAAATTTAGTATTCATAAATTAAAGATTGTCTTTATTAATTGTGAGGTTAATGGCATCTGTAATTTAGGCTTAGCAACTTTTCGAACATTTTAAATATCACTACTTATCCGTCGGACAGCACTTTATCCGCGGTAGCCGGGTTAATTTAGTAGCGCTAAGCTGTAATTGTAAACGAAACAAGGCTAGATGAAATGCAATATTTCTTAGCTTGCGATTTCTATAGTATGTTAATACTTACGCTTTTCTATATTATTTGAATTAAAAATATTCAAACGCAGCGTATTTTGAAAACACAGATCGACGCCCTATCTTATTATTGCAAGCCGGGTAATTATAAACACAGTGACATGTTAATCATGCCTGAACTGTTGACATTCTCATTAGCATAATGATATTGCCGGATCAGTTGTAGGAGGAGCGTTGGTTGATTATTGCATCTGGTGTTTCGCGTTTCAGCGTGCTGCCTTGTTTCAATTTTAGATGACAACAATCTTGTATATTTAAAACGTGAAATCAAGCTACCAATCATAAATTAAGGTTGCTTTTATCTTATACAACAATATGGCAAGATTTTGGACCATTTGCGTGGCTATATTCATGTTTCGTGATCCTATACGTCTGGCAGACTCGCTTCAAAGTGGAAAATCTAAGGATTATTCGTTTCAACTTCGTAACACAGGATTAAGTCGTGGAAGCCAACAAATCGCACGGTTAAATGGAGATTTCACACTTGGCGCAATGCTCCCAATTCATATGTCGAGCGCCGGGTTATTATGCTCGGGACTGTATGTCGACGGTATTGTGCTAGTAGAAGCAATTATTTTCGCTCTGCGTGAGATAAAGAATAGAAAATTATTACCGGAAGAAATCACCCTTGGATACGAAATACGGGATACTTGTAATTCAGTAATAGTTGCGCAAAGGCATACATTGGATATCGTCATTGAGGCGACGAAATTTGAAAGAAATAGCGAGTATATGAACGACAGTAATGGCTCAATACTATCGTATTCTACTCGAGATTATAAGCAATCAAGTAACAGCTTGATAGCAGTTGTCGGTGCTGGAAACAGTGAGATATCGGTGGCTGTTAACAGAGTTCTTAGTGCATTTAGCATTCCTCAAATTGGTTTTGCTTCCACATCGAGATATCTTAGTGAAAAACTACGTTTTCCTTCTTTTTTCCGTACAGTCCCACCCGACACGCATCTAGTGGAAGGCATCGTAGCTTTGTTTCAAAAGTTCTCTTGGAATTACGTTGGACTTTTGGTTTCAGATGGCGATTACGGAAGACCGTTAGCTGACTCTTTTAGATCATCAGCCAAACAGAAAGGAATTTGCATTACGTATGAACACCTATTGCCTTTCCAAGTCAACCTGGAAAATGCTAAATCTATTGTTCGAGAGATGAATTCAAAAACCAACATAGAAATCGTTGTGATTTTACTTCCTGAATCTGATGTTAACACTATGCTTCTTGCAATGCTAGAAATTGGTCTGACCAACAAAACATTAATCGCAAGTGATTCCTGGTCGAGGGCCATCAAGGATTTAACATTTTCAAATATCGTTGCTGGAACATTAGGATTTGCCCACCATTATACACAAGTTAAAGAGTTCGAAGACTATTTTCTTGGTTTAAAGCCAAACACGAACACATGGAATCCATGGTTTAACGAAACTTGGGAGCATTTATTTGACTGTGTGCTTCCTAAAAAAGATAACACTGAACCCAATAAAACTTTTTCTTCAAGAAAAGTTAAAAAATTCTGCAACTTAGAAAAGCAACACTTCAAAAGAGAACATTTTACAAGATTTCACTATGTAAGTAATATAATGAATGCAGTCTTTGCTGTGGCGAATGGCATTCAAAGTTTCTACCAAAAAGAACATGACTCTGTTTTTTCGCTAACCCCACTCGAGTTGCTGAGAACGTTAAAAGAAAGTACTTTTCAGAAATACGATGGCGAAAACATCACGTTTGATGAAAATGGCGATGTTAGTGGAAAATACACTTTGGTGAATATTCATCCGGATCTGAAAATCCACAATGTCGGAATTTGGAACGGAGAATATTTGGAAGTTGATGATTTTGAGAGAATTTGGTGGAACACTGATCAAAGAAGTCCTCCAAAAGGTGTTTGTTCCCTACCTTGTAGTGCAGGCTGGCATCGACATGCATCAAAGGCAGATCCACAGTGTTGTTGGACCTGTCAACGTTGCTTTGCTGGAACGATCAGTAACCGATCTGGCGCAACAAGATGCATTCCTTGTCCTACGAACCACATTACTAACCTCAACCAAACAGCTTGTCTTTTCATTCCACTGAATTACCTCGATTGGCACAGCTTTTGGACAATTTCCATCGTAATTTTGGCGTTATTATCTGTGTCCATCTTATTATTCGTCCTTACGCTGTTTATACGTTATGTAAACACGCCAGTTGTAAAATCTTCTAACCGTGAGCTAAGCTTGCTTCTGGGCGTTGGATTGTTTTTGACTTTCCTTGTACCGTTTGTATTTGCAGGTAAACCAACAAATTTTAAATGTATTATCAGTCAGGTGATGTTTTGTGTTGGCTGTGCACTAGCGCTCTCGGCAATGCTATTCCGAACATTGCGAATTGTATTGCTCTTTGGCTCCATGAACCGAAGACTTTGGCTCCTGAAGAATAAATATCAAATTGCAATGACACTTGCTTTAACTTTTGCAGAGCTTATTTACTGCTTGTTGTGGGTAGCTGTGAACCCGCCGAGTGTACGAACAGTGAAAATAATACCGACCAAACGGTATCTAGTGTGTGAGTTTGATAAATACTGGTACAGTGGCTCGCATCTTTTGCTAATATTTCTAAGCATCGTTTGTACGGTTCTGGCTGTAAAAGGTCGAAAGCTTCCTAAAAACTTTAACGAAGTTCGACATATTGGATTGAGTATGTTTACATTCAACATCGTCTGGGTAGTGTTCATGTGCGCGCAGTACGGTGCATCACTGGAATACGATGTTAAAATCAACTGCTTTGCAATGATCATTTCTAGTTTAATGATCTTAGTGCTTTTGTTTGGTCCAAAAGTTTTCGTCTTACTATTTCGCGCGCACTTAAACAAGAAAGAAGAATTCGAAGCGGAGGTTCGTCGCTATTCATTTGGGGTTCCGAACGTCTCCACCTCTGCAACATCTCTGAGGCGAGGTTCCTCCATGACCTTTCGAACAGCAAACCCTTCTAATGATCAGTTTTTGAGGGTTGCTTCTGATGATTTAAAACGAATGCGCTCGCACAGTTTTGACACTATGGCCAGTCGTTTTTACCAGAATCCTTATCCTTCACCAAAATGTTTCTCGAAGGAAACACAAACTAATTTTCCGAGCGATCTTGCAAACGCATCCGAGTTGAGAGAAAGCTCGGAAATTCCTCCTGTTGTTGTAAGAATAACAGAGGAAGAGAACGGTAATGATTCCTTTGAAAAGGAAGATAAATACTTGAATGTAGTAGACAATGCAGAATTGCCCGGTGTGAAAATTAGTGATTTCAACTATGATACTAATTTGAACGCCAAAGGCACGGTAAATGGCGAACGTCCTTCGAAAAGAGCATGTAGTTTACAGCCGGAACTAAAAAAGGGACAGGATTTGAATTTAGATACGAGCGATTCAAATGAACTAGAAAATTTACTTAAAGATTTAGATGTTCCAAATAAGAATAGTGCAAATGAACATACGAATTCTTTCGCTAAATTATTCGAAAAACTTCCAAGTGATGGGGAGCTAGCGTTTTCCAGTACGAGCCCAATTGCCGAAAGTGAATGCGAGGAACGTTGCAAAGAACTTAAGAAATCGTGCACGAATGGTGGAAACAGAGTTTCAGGTTTAACACTTGAAGGAGCTGCCAAGCCAGAACGGACACAAAATTACTTCTTAGAAAATGATCTTAAATATGGTAATGAAAATTGTAAAATGAGTGATCATAGAAATGGATATGATAGAGAAACGGTATTATAGACCAATAGGCAACAATGAAATTATTTTATTTACTAGCGGGGCTATCTATATTATGCATTGTGCTTTAGCTCAGGTTGTGTTGAAAAACTGCTTTGTTGTTCAAGCCTGATAACATGTGGTTAATTTATTGTGATGAAGATATTCTGGGTAAATACCAACCTAAAATGATCGTGTTTTGTGATTGGCTTCGATCATAAACAATAATAATCAGTGTCTATGAGTCGTTCTTTAGAAAGATAATTTATATACCGGTGTAGTTCATTGACTTTTATTGTTATGATCAACCAATCACAAAGCGCTTTCATATAGGTTGGTGCATAGTGATCTGATATTCTTTACAACAACGAAACGAAGTGTATATTATTGTTATGAAATCAATCTGATATCAAATTGATAATTTGGAATAAAACAAATAAATATAAATAATAAATAAAGAGAAGAATATAGACTGATGACAATGGTAATTGAACAGTTTGAACTGAGTGGAGTGCAACTTACATGAAAAATGGACATTAAACAGATCACTTTTTAAAAAGAAGAAAAGTAAAAGAATTGAAGATATTCGTTTAATAACACGCCAACATGGTTAAAACAACAAAATGATATTTTACATCTGAAAAGAATAATTTCTTAGCTTGGGCATAGCTTGGGTAACAGGGTAAGTACTGTATGTAGTGTGATTTCCCAGTAGCCACTGTATAATGTGTATGTTTATGAAAATGTTTGTTTAGAGTGCCTGATTTTTCTTATAGGTCATGTTACACGAGGCTGCAACTTGCAACACAATTTCTGACATAGAGGCTTAGAGCCATCTGATGTAGGTTATCCAAAGGTAGTCGCAGAAAATTCTGAACATTTCCCACTGATTATTTCTCGTTCTCTCAAACTCTCACACGTGTTTGTATAACTGTCAGAAACACGGAAAATGTTTTAATTTCTTAAATATTAATCGTATAGTTTTTAAATATATTCTAGCTATAGCGTTGTAATATATATATATATATTCTTGTATCTATGTAACATGAAATTATTATGTATTTTTATCTTGTGATGAAATAAAAACAAAGTTTCAAAGGCAACATCTATCTAGTTCAAAGCATATACGCACCATTCGCAAAGTTATTTCTGTTCCCAATTGTGCTGTTTTCTGTAAATGCTCTACCTCACTTTTTAAAATTACAATTTTTCCAACCCGTTTCTCCAATTCTGTGGACATTGCATCTAATGCACCAACAACCACTGCATGGTGGTTCACCAATTAACAATTTCCATTTTCCACTCTTGCATGGTATTTATACCTTTTCGTGCTGCTTCGTCTTTACTCTTGTGTCCCATGGTACAGCTATATATCAGTCATAATATAATAACGTTAAGAATTCAAGCGTTTTCATTGGACGAGAGCTATGGTCAGCCTGAGAGGACAGGCACACGGAATTACGTTACAATTAAGGTAGCCAATAGCATTCGCTTATTTGTATAGATCATGTACGCGTGATATTTGTAAAGTTCAACTTTTTCAAACTTGGAAAGTTTGGGTGGATAAAAAGTAAGCTATTTACCTGTTTAATTCGGGGTTCTTCTTTTTATTATATAAAACAAATAGATAAGATTTATCCTATTTTATTAACTGTGAATTTACCGATGTCTGTTCAGATATAGATACACAGTATGACATCATAATGTGGAAGAACAAAAAAGTGACCCACTCGCCTCGGCGGCTTGTGAGCCACTTTTTTGTTCTTCCTACATTATGACGTCATACTGGGTATCTATAACTGAACAGACTACGGCAAAATCTTATCTATTTGTTAACTAAACACTCCTTCTTATCCTCATCTATCACCACAAGATCAGGCATTCTTGCTTCTATAACATGGTCACACTGAATGTTGAAATCTCGTAATTCTTACTCTCTTCATTCTCCAACACTCCAGGCAGTTTGTGATCGTACCATTTGCTTGCTCTTTCCAGTCCACGTTTTCTGCATACTTCTCAATGAATATATCTTGCAATATTATCATGGCTTGTCTTGTATTCGATTCTTTTTGTGCAAGCTTAATATATTCACTGACTAACTAAATAACCAACACTTTTTCTCCACACATTCTCATAATGCTGTACATGCTGTCTTGTCTATATGGTATTTGACATAATTCGTCCTCAGAGCCTGCTCATGGGCACTGCATATCAAATCCTCTGTATAACTTTTGTTTGAAACCACTTTTTTGTAACCATCTCCATCTATTCTTGTTTATTCCATCTCTAATATCTTTGATATATTTCCCATACATCTTCTTCTCCTTCATTTTTCTTGAATTCATCAGGATTAATTGCTTCCTCAGCTACAGCTATTTCAATTAAGGTTGTCCACGAGCAAAGCGGAAACGTCGAATACGAGCGCAAAAGGCTGCTGGGAATCGCTTTGAAAATTCATTAATTTGTTAGCGATTCCCAGCGGCTTTTCGCGCTCGTATTCAACTTTTCCGCTTTGCTCGTGGACAACCTTAATTGAAATAGCTGTATACTTTTATTGTTGAGTGCTTGGATCTGAATTCAAATTGTCCCTTATAGAAAATTTCTCATTTCTTAACATAATTAATTTTTATATGCACATTAAATTTTCTAATATTCAGTTATTAGAGCAAAGGGATCGGACTGTAATAGTTGATCGACACAAGTTTGAGATCTTTTCTTAATGAAATATAGGAATTACGCTTGCTAATTTAAGTAATTCAGTAGACTATAGGTACACTCTAAAAACACTCTGGTTAAATTCAACCAGGAATTGGGTTAATAATCCACCCAACACATTCTGGTTAAATTTAACCCATTTCCTGGTTAAAAATTATCAATTCAACAAAAATTTGGTACACTTTTTTGGACTTTTAACCAGGAAAATGGTTAATTTTTTTTAACCAGACTTGTGTAGGTGGATTTTTAACCCCGTACTGGTTGAATTAACCCAAATTTAACCAGAGTGTTTTTAGAGTGTACGTATACACTAAATGGTTTAGCGGAGGATTTCGTAGGGTTTAACTTGTTGATTTCCTGTTGGCATCTTAATTCAGGTGACATATCTGATTTGTTTCTGGGAATTAGTATATTTTGATTATTATATGCATGGGAAATTGTTAATTTTTTGGTTTATAGGCGTATAGTTAGATCTTTTATTCCTATTTTTATATTCTTTGAAACTTTGACATGTGTATCTTTGTAGGTAACATTCTTTATTTTATTTTATTTTAATACTTTACTTATATTATTATTAAATTTGGACCACTGGTGAAGGTTTCAGTTTTCATTTTACATTTCTTGAATTCTTGAATTCTTGAATTCTGTCTTTTGTAAACCAGGGTTTGGAATAAAATGTAATCTATTTTTTACTTAGATTAACAGGGGCATGCCATTCTATAGTTTGAATAAATAATTGATCAAAAATTATATTCTTATTATAACATTGTATGATTATGGGACAAAATTATCTCCCAATTGACGAATCCTACCGCTACACGTATCCATTCCATGAGGCAATCTTTTTGATAAACTTAAGCTCTTCGTTTATATCTTGGATGGCGAGAAGATTTCGTATACATGACTTTATGGAGTAGGTATTTTTCGAGTTAAGCCCTTCGAGTTAAGCCCTTCGAGTTAAGCCCTTTTCGAGTTAAGCCCCTGCTACGCCCTTTTTCGCCGGGGGCTAAACTCGAAGTCAATTAACGATTTAAGCATTCGAGTTAAGCCCCGACATTTTGGTGGATGTAAACAAGTGGCGCGTGTATACTCGCAAAATATTGGCAAATTTATGTAAGGAGGGAGAATGTAAAATTTCAGAAATTTTAAGAAATATATGAATGAGCTGTTGTTCACAAATCCTTATTGAGCTCTCTCGTTTCACGATTTCATTGTCTGTATAAAACTGTAGGCAAAGAAGCAACAGAGATCTAAAAATTGCTGAAATTTTACATTCTCCCTCCTTACATATATTTGCCAATATTTTTGCGAGTATACACGCGTCATTTGTTTACATCCACTTAATGTCGGGGCTTAACTCGAACGCTTAAATCGTTTATTGACTTCGAGTTAAGCCCCCGGCGAAAAAGGGCGTGGCAGGGGCTTAACTCAAAAAGGGCTTAACTCGGAGGGCTTAACTCGAAGGGCTTAACTCGAAAAATACCTACCCCTGACTTTATTGTTATTAATATAAACTTATAAAGTACGGATCCACCAGATGAAAATGAACATTATGAACGTGAATATGTTCTTATGGAACATGTGCCCCTAATCTGTCAATACATGATTATCTGGACAGCTCTTCTATTTCGTAGCTTTGTTTGATATTGAACTGTACCTCATCGTGAACAAATCCTTTGTCTCAATTTCATTAAATATTAGCACAGTTTAATGATATCATTATTGATATCATTAATGATATCATTTTATCATTAAACTGTGATATTAGTTATCGTGGTTGCACGTTTCATCTCAGCTGGTTACTTAATTAATTAATTATACGAAAATATAATGAGCTCAATCACCGCGACTACCATGCCCATATCTTGATAGACTATGATGGACCGTTCATGAGCTCTTTAATGTTATGGAATCTCCTCACTTGCTTGACATTAAACTCATGACGGACCTTATACTTCGTCAATTAGCGCAGTTTCGTCTAAATTTGAATAATCGTTCTTGTATATTTTAAATAATTTAGCAGGGCGTAAGTTTATTAATGATCAGAAAATTAGAAAATGATCTGAAATGCCAGAAAGTATATTATTACTCACAGTATGATCCATGTACTTGATCGAATTGAAAATTATGTATCAATAAGATAGTTATTTGGTGACATGAGGTGTAAAAATAAGAACTCATAGCAATTTTCTCAGTGGGAGCAAGAGATGGCTAGTCGATAAGATTATAATGTTAAAATCCCCCATGATGATGCAGATTTTACATGTTAGTTGGTTTTAAAAACACCACGTGTTGGTAGTTTGCAATCAATCCCTTGAGATTTACAAGACAAAGATATGGAAGCCAAGTTGGAGGAAAACACGCTCCAAATATATATCCTTTTGTTAGCGTTCCTCCAACATGGCCGCCATGTTGTCAAGTGCAACCAAGAATATACATTTATTTTTGCAAAGCTTTCGATCAATTAAGCCGGTTCTTTATGCATCACTGCTAAACATATATTCCACAAACCAAAATTTATTCTCTTGTTCAATTTGTAATAGTATAGTTTCGACTGACGAGTGCAATTTGGAAAAAACATCTGAGTGAGTTTTTCAAAGACTTGAGTCTTTGTTTTCAAAGCTCACGAGTAAACGTTTTTTCAAATTGCACGAGAAACCATACTATATTACTTATTAATAATATACATGAAAAAAATATAAGTCACGTGCGTAAGGCCCGGTTTAGACGGCGAACTTTTCATGCGCCGAATCTAATTGTCGTAGATACGGCAAAATATCGGAAGCTGATTTAGACGTCGAACTTAATTGTACCGTACCAAATTGCGAGGACACGATATTGGACATATTTACAATGCAAATATATGATAATCATATTATGATGTTAAAAAATAATTAAATTATATGCATTAGGTTCGGCGCATGAAAAGCACGGCGTCTAAATCAATGTCGAACCTGTGTCGCATATACGACTTGTCTTGTCGCATCTTCGAGTCATGTCGAACTTAATCAAAACCTGTCGAACTTAATTGATTTAGACGCCGCTCCAGCGTCGCACTTAATTCTTGCATTAGATTCGGCGCATGAGAAGTTCGCCGTCTAAACCGGGCCTAAGCCAAGAAAATTAAGAAATTTGAAAAATAAAAATTAAGAAAAGTAAGAGAAAATACAGTGCAAAAATTATGTAATCTGTACTTAAGAAATTTGCACTGTATTCCTTTTTTTGCACTGTATTTAATTTTTTGGCACTGTATTTCGAAAAAATTGCACCGCTCTCAGCCATCAGAATTGAGAAATTTTTTCATGTATATTATTAATATGATATAAATAGGTCGCAACAGTAAAACGGCGAACTCATTTCATGTGCCAAACCTACTAGCTGCAAATGATCTCAAACAGTGAGTTTAGGTCATTTAAGGCTTTTTCTCTCTCGTCCATAAACCAACTCGCAAGCCTGCTGCGAGTGCTTGAATCTAATTAAAATAAACTGTTGAGCATTGTGATCGCGTGATGGATTATTAGAAAAGTAATGAACGGGAGATGGGGAGAGGAAACAAGAACAATTCGCGTAAAGGAAAATGAAAGAAAAAAAATTCATGCAAAGAGGAAAGCAGTAAAAGAAAAATACCTTTGAACGATTCTGCAAAAAAAGTTCCCGCACGCTGAAAATCTCCCCTGCCCATCACTTCTCTAATGGTGGACCCGTAGAACGCGGTCTTGAAATATCTGAAACTCTAACGCGGTCTTGGAATGCCTATATACAAAACACCACAGAGTAATTTTTTATTTGAAGTTTCAACAACAATCCATGCATGCATACTGAACCTCTCAATTAAGCCCACGCCCGGTACACGCTTTACATATTTTAGTTTAGTCTCAGATAAGCCTATATTGAGAAAGAGAATTGAAGTTAAATTAAAGCCTATAGCTAGGCTTCTTAATTTAAGTTACTCGGTATGGCTAAATGAAAAGGAGTTCTGAAATATTCCATTTAAGGCCAATCCGGCATACATATGAATCTATTGCATCAAGAACGCTGGTGAGTCCCTTGTAATGATCTCTTATCTTGCCATCCGATTCCATGCAGTAATTGGGTACTTATTCATTATACAAGATTTAAACTGGTGAATGCTTTTATTAAAACTTTATTTATTTTTAAGAGTGGCAGGGGATGTATCCCCATCCCCATATCCCCAGTGGGGGACCCCACTCATGAACGAGTCGGCAAATTGTTGCATTCATTCGGCAAAAATTGAGCTGTTTGGATATGGAGCGAATTATGAAATTGAATTATCTGAATTAAAATAAAATGTTAATTTAAATATAAACTTAATACTTCAAAAAGTCAGGTGAATAGATATCTTGAAATTGTGCTGTATTGACTTGTAGCGGGTAATGTAAAAAGTCAAAACAGCGCAACAGACGAGTGTTACAGCGGTTGTGGCTGGAAACAGTTGTTGTGAGTGGTTATAGGATCAGTTTCAATCGTTGAGGTGGTCACTGATTTGAAATGTATTAACTTTACAATCATAGAAAAGTATAACAATAATTCCCATTTCCTGGGGGATTTCCAGGAAATGCCATTTCAAAGATTCCAGACGATTTCAAAATTTTCCCTGGAAGAACATGCCGTCGATAGAACTTTGTGTAGTTAGAAACAGTCAGGTACAATCGACACATTTTACAATTTTTGTTGTGAAAGTGGAGACTTTTGCGTAATCCGCACATAGGCTAGTATATAGACCAAGCTAATGACTCGGCAAAACTATATCTTAAACCTCCCTCCCCCATTGAAGGAGGCCCAGCGCCGTCCTGAAAGACTTTCATATTTATGAAGATCAGCTGATCATGAAGATTTCCATTCTCGTGTTGACCCAAGGAAAGAGTTCGATAACTTTAAAATAATCGATGCAGACATAATACGACATTCATCTTCTTCTCTCTTTCAACAAACGTTTGATAAAAAGTTAAAAATCCATGTAATTTGCATCATTCAGTAATTTACGAATGTAAATTGCATGGATTTTTAACCTTTTAAACGTGTGATGAAAGATAAGAGAATACGTTTTATGTCTGCATCAACAAATTCAGCCGAAGACGTTGTTTTTGTAGTGTTGTTTGGTTTATCCTGTTAAGCTTTGGTTGCATTCTTCAAATCTCAAACATTCTCAGTCTGGATCAGGTGTCCTTATGGCACATGCAAATAGATTTCGTGGACGATTTTATTTGTCGGTAGCACAGAAGTTGGTCGAAAGTAACATTTGCTGTTGTTTATTCATGGCATTACTAGATTCGTCGGTTTTCTGACAATGGTATTTTATATACTAAAAGCAATTAACCTACTAACCTTCGAGAATGTCGACAATACAGATCAATTCTTCATAAGGTGTGGCTTATGGGGTGCGCAGGCCCCACTTGGTATGCCCTTGAATCACTGATATCATGCATAAACCATTTCGCAATGAGTGAATTAAAAGCGTGAACTTTCGCAATTAACATTCTTAGAAGGCTTAGAATACTCATTTCCACCAATTTAATCGGGATATATATTTCCTTACCGTCTAACGCAAACAGACAGACAAAACATCTGGATATTCATGGAGGCATTTTTTACATCGCATGAATACTACAAAATGGAATATATCAAATTTTCTTCAGTTCAGACTCAGTACATGCATTTAATCGCGAGGCGGAGAAATTCCTTTTTACATCAGTTGAATGAATTAGAGTATTCGTAATATAAGCAAAATTTCGTTTTATGATTATTGAAAATATGAAAGATGTGAAATCCTATTCCTATAGTCAGTTTGCATGCTTACTCATGCATGAATCATACTTCATCTAAACTGGTTTGAAGGCGTTAACATATATATATATATATATATATATATATATATATATATATATATATATATATATATATATATATATATATATATATATATATATATATATATATATATATATATATGCTGTTGAGGCGACCAGTGGAATACATGATAGTTCTGGAGTTGAAGCTGGTCTAAAATTCTTTTTAAAATACTAGAATATGTACAATATTTTTTTAGACTTTTTATTGTACATATTCTAGTATTTTAAAAAGAATTTTAGACCAGCTTCAACTCCAGAACTATGATATATATATATATATATATATATATATATATATATATATATATATATATATATATATATATATATATATATATCTTTAAATTTACTAATTTGGGCTGGATTCGAAATAGAGAGTGATGTGCTATGAATTTTAGTCTCACACGTAAAACCTGTTCGTTTCTATCATTAAAAAATTAATTAATTAATGCAATTAAAATCATTATATACTGACGAAAGATCGAAATAGGAATAACTTACCCCCTTCACTAACTCTGTCACGAGCCTATAATGAAAACATTTTCTACCTATAATGCGTCTGACAAATTTAAATTGCATTGTTGTTTGTTAATTAATACGAACAACAACGCAATTTAAATTTGTCAGACACATATAGTAATGGGTCAGTAATTACAATCTACTGAATATAACAACTTCTTATAGTTAACTTTACAATTTTAAAGTTTGTTGCTTGGCAAAGAAAATAATGCCTCGAATGGCGTAATATTCTGAATCACTCTCTAATAAGGACTCTCTTAAATAATCTATTATCCCCCTCGCCCACATGATATTATTAACCGTCTTAAGCTGTTTACGTTCTGAAACGATAGAAAATAGCCCGCTTTTCGTGGTTCGCGACGCCATCTTGCAAAGTGGGGCAAACACAAGTCACACAATTAATGGCAAAAAACATTGCCTCCTCCCAATGGGAAAGTTGTCCCTAGGGTGATTGTATTGTTGCTCTTTTGTGTTTGCCCTATGCTTGGCAAGATGCCTTCGCGAACCCCGAACGCTTGTATATATATATTTACAAAACATGCTACTTTGAAAAACAATCATGCATGTATTTTAACGAGTTTGTTGGGTGCCAGCTGTTGTACATGTCGTCAATGCTGAGATTCGCTATTACTGATAAGTGGGAGGGAGTAATTAAAAACTGCTAGATCCGATTTTTCATTCAACATTACGCGGCACGCCATCACCTATACTGATAGTAAATCGTTTAGGTTTATTGTATACTGAACTGTTATGAATTATGGCCCACCTTATATATAACTCAGCTTAATTTTGAAACCTGCACTGTCAGTAAATTCATGCGACGCGGTATAAAACACAAAACAATTATACGTTCGTGTGATTTTGGCAAGTAGGTGTAAACTACTGAATCCGATTTTGACCCTCGACGTCACCTGATATTACTGTCTAATCCACTATAGTAGGGGTCAGACAATAGTTGGTGCCAAATTTTCTTACCTTTTTCCGAAGTTGGCGACGATTGCTTAAATAGTTTGGCCGGTAATCACGGTGTGATACAGTGACGATTAACTCTGGGGGCTGTTCATATGAGCCGGGTTAGCCAGGATATGAATCGTGTCACGAAAATTGTTTTCTTGATCACAAACTAAGCATAAAAAAAAAAATTTAAAAAAAAAATATCATTTGAATATCTAAAAATAAATAAATATCATAAAAAAAAAAAATAAAAAAATTTATTTATTTATTTATTTATTTATTTTTTTATCATAAAAATAAATAAATATCATTTTCAATATCTTGAAATATCATTTGGATGTATATTAAAGTCGTGATGAGAGCTTAAACGAATCATCCAGGATAAGTCCAGCCCGGCTCTAGATGAACAGCCCCCTACGGCGTGGGCCAAGGGGAGGTGTACCAAATGGCTTCGTATAAATGTTCATTAAAAATAATCAAGATACCCGAAAGAAGATGCCCAAAACTTTATGCCAGAAATTCACAAAATTCACATATCTCAAATACCCCATACCCAAATTAGAAATGTTTTTCATTGAGTACTCAAATCGAAATTAGGGCCATTTATACGGAACAAAATAGGTCGCGACTTACATAAGACGCGACTTAACTTTGGTCTTATTTATTTGCTATAGCTATAATGTTGTTTTGGTTGTTTTTGTTTTAATATGCAAGGCTAATAATTTTACGTTGTTTCAAGTTTCTGGCATGTGTATAGTCAGACGTTTTGCCCAAAATTTCTTATTTAAGACGCGACTTAAATAAGAACAGCTAAAAGACCTGTTCTTATGTAAGACGCGTCTTATCCAAGACGCGTCTTACATAAGAATTTTGTACCTTTTATACGACAAACTCGCGTCTTACTTAAGTCGCGTCTTATGTAAGTCGCGTCTTATTTTGTTCCGTATAAATGGCCCTATTGTCTCATGTTTTAAGGTAAATAGTAGATTAAGAAAAGGGCTACATAAAAAAGCCCATGATACAGTGGCGGCGCCAGGGGGGGGGCAAGGGGGGGCAAATGCCCCCCCAAAATTATTTTTTGCCCCCCCATTTTGCCCCCCCTCAAAAAAAATTATTAGTCACTAAGAGCGACTAAAGGCTACACAAGTGTTCTGTCGTTATCGGAAAATGTATGGCTTATAAGTTGTCATTACTCATTTGTGAATGCGCATATACATGAAACTGTTTTTTACAGTTTCAATATTAGTTTGTAAATCTCTGCATGGTAAAACTTGCCAATACTCCAATAATACGTTTCAAAAAAAGACAAAAAAGCTTTAGTTTTGCAGAGTTAAATTCTCAAACGTGTAAGGCAATAATAAGATGAAAGTATCACGAAATTATTTGAATAAACCACATCGCATATATGGGGGGCGAATGTCCTAAAGAGGGGCGATATTCCTAGGGTATTCGCCCCACCCCCCTGGGAGGCGATATTCCTAGGATATTCGCCCCCGGGGGCGATATTCCTAGGAATATCGCCACGTTTTGAAGGGGGGGGGGGCGAATTTCCTGGGGGACGACCTTTTTAAAAATTCGATCTTGCCCCCCCAAAATTTGAGTTTGCCCCTCAAATGCCCCCCCAAATTTGGAAGCCTGGCGCCGCCACTGCCATGATATAAAGCAAAGAATTCAGTACTGGGCCAGGGTCTCAATCCAGAGGCAGAGTTTAATATATTGATTCCGTAGTCGTGTAGTACGTGTACTGTTCCCTTTGACAACTGATTCTAATTTCTGTTTTGGTTCATGAAAACTAGTGAATACATCAACCAAAACAGTAAGCGAGACTGCCGCTAGCAACATTCCGTTCTCAGTGATTCTAATTTGTAAACCTGTTGGTGGGCGTTCTCATATTACTTTAATTTGTTCATATTCATGATTCGAACCTAGGACTGGACTGAAAATTCACTTTACTTTAAGACCGATTTACACTATACAACGTTTGCCTATAAAACTGTCGCATGTGAAGTTGTCAACTGCTTACCACTTGTAAGCATCGGCCTTCACGTCACAGGGCCCGCGGAGCGTATTAGAGAGTGGGGGGGGGGCTAAAGGGTGAGGTTTAATTAATTTAGAAAGTTTCATTTAAATTTCTATTTTAATAATTTTGGCTGTCAAAAAAAGTGGGGGGGCTGAAGCCCCCCCAGCCCCCCCGTCTCCGCGGTCCCTGCGTCATGATTTATGAGTATGAGATGTGATTTCAAAACCTCAAACTTGATTAAATGGAACAGATCTAAAACATTGCAGTCATCATACATCGGACTTCCCGTCCAGTCCTCATTTTCGATTTTTAAATATTCAGTGTAAAGTTTACGAAAAAGAAGATCTTAGTGGGCAAAAATGACGTTGCCACGTTGAATCAACGTCGGACATGATCTCCCAGACATTGGATAGACGTTGAATAAGGGTTGAAAATGCAAATTGATAGTCGCGACTCTAGATATCTTGACGTTGAAACTATGCTGAGACTAGGTTGCTAATTTCGTCAACCATAATTCAACGTTGAATCAGCGTTGAAACAACGTTGAGATTAATACTTGACAAGTTGACGTCGTAAAATGGAACCATGAAAGAACGTTGTTAATTCGACGTCTGTTAGATGCTGCTGAACTAACAAATTACACGACATCAGATCGATGAGCCTATGTTGATATTAGGTTGTCGATGTCGCAACATTTTTTCTACCAAATTAAAAAAAAAATCCCTGTGGGACGTTTCACGTGAAATTGCTGGGCGTTCTTTTCGCTCTATTGGTCAATTAACATTTTCCAAAAATACTAGGTTATCTTAGGCTTATTTTAAAGCAAAAGAACGTTAAATATATCTATCGATACATTGTAATTTTAAACTGACGTCATTTCGTGCGAATGCGCTCTATTTTTGTTTATTAGTTCCAGTTGAACAGACGACGTGACTTTTTGCAGGAAAGCCAAACAATTAGCCAATAAGGTTAGGTTCCCCTATCCTGCTACGTTTAAGAACCTATTTACATAACTACGTGTTTGTCTTCAGGCCACAATACAGTATCAAGATAATAACCTCAATGTCCTGTTACAGAAATAAAACAAGGGATCTAAAGTAATTTCGTTGTTTACTTCATTGCATTGACATTGGGTTGCAAGGGCAGCAGATGGTGATCAAGGTCATAATGTTAACACATCGCTCAATTTTATATTAGATATATATACCGAATAAAATGTATACTGCTACAGACAGTGAAAGAAAATCTCACTATTTTCAGGCTCACAAGTGCACTTAAGCAAGAAGGTTTAGAATGTTTATGTGGTTGTCATAGCAACACACTAGTTACCAGGTTCCTCTGCATGTTCTTTTTTTAATGTTTGGACATGCATGAGGCTTAAAATTTCCTATCAGGGAACCAGAATTCACAACTTACCAGGTTCTAAATAACAATAACGTGCATTTAGATTGTCCACTGGGGAGGACAAATTCACAAGGAATATCTAAATGACCGGCGCCTGTCCGCAGGGAAGCAAAAACTGATGTGGGGCCGATTGTATGAAGACTGGATACCTGACGGCCAAGAACACGTTGCCTGTTCTGACAGAACTGAAATTTGCCAAGGTATATACCGAATCGAAAATACCTCCTTGGTTAATGAGATCTTGAGACCACTCTATATACAACTACAAGTGTCAAGTGGCCACTCTGATCCACGGAGTCCTTTCAGTAAACTGAAGGCTATTCTCAGTATTCTTGAACGTACGCAGTTTAGAAAAGCGGTAATAAACGCCCCCAAGTTTAAAGGCGAATTCTTCCTTAAACTGTCGGAGAAGTTATACTCAAAAGCCGTTTATTATATGATTTCTATGAAACACATCGAGGTTGGTTCGAAACCTCAGCTATTTCCGCCTCGTTTTTCCGCTAAACATAGAATCAAATAAACGGTTTTCTGTATTCTGTGTGGAAAACTGTTGTGGGACGTGATTGGGTGGAATAATCTTGCATGTAAGCAATCCTCTCTACTAAAATTAACAACAAAATCCGGACAAAATTAATTCGTACGTGGCCAGTCTATCTATATGGGATTATAGGAGGTATATTATTAGTACATACATTGCGTGACACGCGTGAAAAAGTGAAGTATTCAAAATGGCGCGGTTCCAACCCGGGGTACGTAAAACCCATCAAGGGTAACACCTCAATTAGCGATGACCCCGTCTACGCACGACGCCTTGCATGAACAACTTTTACGGGGGAAACCATGCATGGGACTAATAAAATTTCACAATAAAAATCACATCAATTCATCCGGTTAATATAAATGAGCGAAATAACTTCTGAACCGTCTAGCTGCTCGCATTTCACAATTTTATTCACGTAAATCCCCATTCAAATCTTTTAACTCTTAAAATGATACAGAAATAATAACTATATTAAGTTTAAATACGATATGACAAAACGACTTTACATGAGCTCACACAAAGGAGACAAATTGCATGTCAGTTGGTATTCCCTCGGGTATTCCTAAAAAAACCCATCAAAAACATTTTTTAATATTTGAAAAAAATGATAGAAGATTGGTTTGATTAAATCTATGGGGGATCCAGGACACGCCTTGCACTATTTGACTGATAACGTTTCTTTCGTACGCATTGAGAGTCCTTGACGATTTATATAATTTTTATTTATTTAATATTACATATATTTTTGAACAAATTAAATTATGGGAATCACCCCAGATATCTGACTATATAGTATATTATGCCAATATAACCGCCCCTTTTTACTATAGATTAAGCTGAGGCTAGACTGTACAGAGCACAGATTGTTTTGATATGATTTGGGTATGTTTTGATAACATGTTAAGCCTGGGAAGGTCATGCAATGCGTATATAATTACGGTTTGGAACAAGAACAACAGACTAACCGGAATTGGAGCTTAGATGAAATAAACACACCCTCAGTGCCTTATTAATTTATTGGCCTATTAATTTTTTAAGGTAGTCATACACCTTTTAACAGTACTGTAGTGTTTTGAGACATTGTTCTCTTATAATTACAAATTTCACAGATGAAATGACCATTTTTACATGTGAAATGTTCCAATTCCACATAAAATTTCACATGCATTTCCCGTTAGGACAAAGTCCAGCAACTTATGAAAGAGTCGCTCAAAAAACATCGTTACATTCCAATGCTTAATTGTTGTGAGTTACATTGAGAACAACTATAAGATTTATGATAAGATTTTAAAAGAAATAAACTAATTGGATTAACAGTATCAGTGATGTTATATATGGATTAACAGGATATAAGGATAAGTGACGAAGATGGTTAAATGTACTGTCTTATTTATTACATGTATTCCATCATTTGGGTGTGGGCCATACAATATCCTGGAAAGCTAGCGGTTGGAAAATCCAGGATTAACACTCGTGCTAAAGTGGCTGAACTTTGCAAAAAAATCATACAAACAAAGAAAAAACATCTGAAAGAAAACATACACTGAAGAAATAAAACACAAAAGAAAAACTCAGGAATTTTTGTATTCTCTTCCTCTATACAATAAAAAAACCGCCCAAAAAAAACAAAAACAAAAACAAAAACAAACAAACAGCTCGGGTTTTGGATAAAAATTTGGCTGAAAACAAATTCATGAATAATCATAATATTGTTTTAAAATATTTCTTCTCTAAAACTATGTTTACCAAAATTGTTTCTTTCTAATTAAATACATAT